TTAAAATCAAGAGAGATGCTTTCCCATGGTCGACGGGTATCGATAGTGGTTCGAGCATGCCTGCGGGTTTTTTCTTTTCAATTTTGTCTTGTTGGCAGATGAGGTAAGTCTTTGTATAGTCCATCACATCTTGTCGTATGTGAGGTCAATAATATCCCTATTTCAATAACGTCAAAGTGCGTTGCCAACCCGGATGTCCAGCCCATGGTGTGTCATGACATTCTCTCATCAGCATCTGTCTCAGACTTTCCGCTCTCGGCACAAACAATCGAGGCCCCTTTGTTCACAAGACCTCATTTTTTTGCCAAAAGTACTTAGACTTTCCTTCTTTCACTAGCTTCAGGATGGCAAAGCTTACGAGTCCTTCCCTAAATGATCCTCAATCAACTTGCGAATGTCTGTCGAGGCTCTGCTAGCCGCCATTGGGGCAGTTCTTCTAAGAGCCGCTAAATCTGTTCACCTGCTCAATGCATCGGTCACTTGATTTGTCTTTCCAGCGGTGTGTTCAAAATAAAAGTCAAACTCTGCTAAGAATTCTTGTCATCTAGCTTGTTTCCCTGTAAGCCTTGGTTGGGTGAAAAAATGCTAACGGTCACATTGTCTATCTTCATGACAAAGTGTGAGCCCAATAAGTAATGTCATCAAGCCCTCAAGCAGTGAATTACTGCCAAGAGCTCTTTTTTCTGGGCCGTATAATTCCTCTCAGCTTCGCTTAGCTTTCTACTTTCAAATGCTATCGGGTGATGTTGTTGCAAAAGTACTCCTCCAATAGCAAAATCAGATGCATCCGTCTAAACTTCGAAAGACTTTTCAATATCATGGAGAGTTAAGATAGGATCTTTCATAATAGCATTCTTCAATCTCTCAAAAGCCTCATAGCACTCATTCGTCCAACACCATTTATGCTCCTTCTTCAATAGCTCTATGAGGGCCATGGTCTTGCGAGAGTACCCTTCCATAAACTTTCTATAATAGTTAGCTAGTCTAAAAAATGAACGGAGTTCACTAACATTCTTCGGTGTTGTCCACTTCTTGATGGCCCTAACTTTTTTCATGTCCATTCGAATGTGGCCACGTTCAATAATGTGATCGAAAAAATGGATTTGGGTTTGAGCAAATGCACACTTCTCTCTTTTCACGTATAGCTGGTGGTCCTGTAACCTTCGAAGCATCTGGCGTAGGTGTTCTTGATGTTCTTCCAAAGTGGAGCTATATACCATTATGTCATCTAAATAGATGAATACAAATTTATCTAGGTAGTCATGGAATACCTGATTCATCAATGTACAAAATGTGGCAGGACCATTGGTCAGTCCAAAGGGTATAACAAGAAATTTAAATGCACCATACAATGTTACACAAGTGGTATTTGGCTCATCTCCCTCAATAATTCTAACCTGATGGTAGCCAGATCTCAGGTCTAATTTAAAGAAGTACTTGGCCCGGCTTAATTGATCAAACAAATCTGCTATAAGAGGGATGGGATATTTGTTTCTTACGGTGACTTTGTTCAAGGCCCTGTAGTCAACACATAATCTTAGGCTTCTATCATGCTTCTTCTGAAATAGCACTGAACCCAGCTTGTAGAAGCTCATCTAACTGTTTCCTTAGTTCTACCAACTCTGGTGGGGCCATGCGATAAGGGGCTTTGGCAAAGGGTTTCGCTCCTAGGAGGAGCTCAATTTCATGGTCCATTGCTCGTCGAGGGGGCAGAACCTTAGGCAACATCTCTGGCATCACCCCTTCAAATTCTTCCAACACTTTTTTCATGCCATTGGGTATCGGTTTCACTCCTGACCCTTCTTTGTAGATCGACATGGCCACAAAGGAGGGTTCCCCTCTCTTTACCCTTTTCTTAAACTGTAAAGCTGAAATCATTTTTTTCCCACTTTTTGGTAAGATATTGGTCGGTACCACACATGGGTGTTCCCTTAAGAATAACAAACAGCTAGCGGCGGGGATAAGGATCACCTGAGCCAACATCATGAAGTTTAGTTCTAGGACGACATCAAAGTCATCCATTGAGGAAACTGTAAAGTCTACTTTCTCTTTTCATGGCCCTAATTTGGTTGTCACACTCTTTGAGCTCCCACTGATCGCAAAGGTGAATTGACCACCTTCATTCATCCATAATCTTTGCTAACCTGGAGACCATACCTTTTTACTTCTTCTGGTGTGATGAAAGTATCAGTTGCTCTCGTATCTACCATGGCCTTGGTGACCTTTTCATTGATCATTAGGTTCACATACATTAAGCCTCTACTATGCTCTTTCTTTATTGTGTTCAGTTGGGTGTGAAGGGCATTGAGAAACCTTATTAATCCCATTATGGCTGACTCCTCTTCAACTTTTTCAACTTCTTCAACGTTCTCTGGCATTTTTACGGACTTTTGAGATGAGGCTTTTAAGGCATTAAAGGTTCCTCTGTGTGGGCATTCGACCACTCGATGCAGCCCCTTGCAAAGAAAGTAAGCTAGCAGTTGCCTAGGCTTGAAAATCACTGCGCTGTTTGTCTTTGGTTGGGTGCTATCTCGACCAAAAGACCTTCTGTCTAATCCCCCACTAAAGGGTCGGTCCAGCCTAGTCATCTTTCCCCCACTCCCAAAGTTGAAGCTACTGCCAGTTGATGAAAGATTTTTTCATTTTGAAGAGCCATCATTATAATCGTGGAGACGTTCAGCTGCAGCCATGGCCATGGCCATGTCTTGCACTTTCTATCTTTGTAGTTCTGTCCTGACCCAAAGCTTGAGGCCCTTAAGAAAATAAAACATCTTGTCCTTTTCAGACATATCTCGAATATCCAACATCAGGGTAGAAAAGCTCCTTACAAACTCTCGTACTATTCCTATTTGCATCAATTCTCAAAGTCTCTTTCGAGCTATATACTCCACATTCTCAGGGAAAAATTGGTTTTTCAGTTCTTGTTTCAAGTCCGTCCAAGTCTTAATCGGACACTCGTCATTGACAAACTTGGAGCGCCACCATAGCTTAGCATCCCCTGTGAGGTACATCGACGTCATTGCTACCTTGTCTTCCTCTGAATCTATGTGTATAGCTCGAAAGTACTGCTCCATGTCAAATAAGAAATTTTCAAGTTCCTTAGCATCCTTTGTCCCCTCATAGCATCGAGGCTTCGACACCTTGGGCTTTTTTTTTCTTTCTATCGAGCTCGAACCCGATCTAGCCACAGCCATTTGTAAGATGCTCACCTGTGCTCTGAGCTCCGTGAATTTTTTTTGGAAAATATTCAAGGCATCTCTAGCTTCCTCGCTCACGTTGTGGAGAGTATCAGACAACTCCCGTTGGGTTATCTCAATCTCTCTCACTCGATCTTTAGTTGCCATATGAGTTTTCATTACGGCCACCGTGGGCTCAAGTTCCTCAATTCTCTGTTGATGATTGGGTCCACCCCTTGTGGTCATCTCATCCATTTTTCTAACACTTTTAACCTTGCTCTGATACCATGTGTCACGGGTTAAGCTTTCTCTCAACAAACAGTAGACCGTGCGGCACTTGAATGGATGCTCCCACCCAAGTCAGCCTTCACTAGTTCAATATCTGAACAAATAACCATAAGCCATGGTTAGTCCCAAGCATTCACAATAAGACACAATATATCGAGATCAATCTCAAACACACACAAGCAAGCACATTCACATCGAAAAAAAGAAAAACACATCGAGGCAACATCGAGATATTCAATCGGGGTGAATTTTATTATAATCGAGAATCATACATCGAGACTTCTCACTATCATCAGAGCCAAAGGGGCAGCCCTTGATGGATGGCCTAAGCCCGCATAGCAATCGGTGAGATAACCTAATAGTACGCTACCGGCTCATCCCCTAAAAGAACCTTAGAGATTTTAGAGCTATGATACCAATAAATATTACAATGTTTGAAATGGAGACACTTTTTCTAACACAAAAGATCTATTCGACCATAATTTTATACATGGATGACTCATGATAACCTAAATTTTGATCATGATCCTATATAAAGTTGGCTCATGATACTGGAGTTGTTCACTATATTAGCGCCCCATCCGCTGCATAAAGTTTGTGGCCTTTGGTGGCGACATGAAAGTACTATACACCTAAGTAAGTTGTGTAGGAGTGTAAATGTGTTTTTAATTTGTGTTTTTCTTAGTAGTTGTTTATCTGTCCTTCCTTTTTTAAAATGGACAGATTTTATCAGGAACCTAAAGACTATTGTCCTTATGGTTGCTTTCTTTGGTTTTGAATATTTCTAGTTCTGTTGGTACACTTTTTGAATTTTATATAAATGAATATTACTATACTTCTTTATGGTATATATATATTTTTAATTTTATTGTGTACTCAAAGAAATTTACAAAAAATATCATAAGTTAATCAGAAGTTCCTCACTACGTACGTGCTAGTTCAGCTGTCCTCCCTAAGCTGTCGCTAATATCTATCAACCTGATAATTGAACAAGCTGCTAGCAATAGCAAAAGTTTGATAGAATTAATTCCATGACAACACCGACTCCATATTGAAGAAGGGTTTCTACAATTGTGTGGAATTCTATTAATTGATGGAAGACAATTTGGATAAAGCTTGCTATCATTGGGAGAGGGGAGATTACAGGAATACCAGTGAATTAATCCAATCCAAAAAACAAGCTGAAGATTGTGCATCTGCGCTTCCAATAAACTTAAAAGAGGATTGATATATACTCTTACCGGGATTATGGTATCAAAATGTGAGACTTCAATAAGTGTCGACCAATTTATTGGAAGAAGAAAAGCATAGAAAATTTACATCAATAATGAAAATAATGCTGCGACATTTTGTCACCTTAAGTCCCATCATGTAGTTACAAACAGCTCTGATAGAGCTTAGATAAGAAATATATATATATATATATATATATTGTTGTCTGACAGTAGAATCCCAAAGAAAGCGTTAGCAAGAGCAAAAGGTCTTAACCAGCAGGATGAATTTGATGCAAATGGACTACCATCGAAAATGGGCAAAGATTAGTTGCATGATGGGCGTTGGGAGTATAAGATGAGCAATCTTGGTGGGCTTTGTACACTGCTACGGTATATAAACCCAACAAAGAAAAGGAAAAGGAGTTTGGATTAAAGGGCAACGCCCACTTGCTTTTCAAGACTGAATGCAGCTTTAGGTTAAGTAGATAATAAGTTCAGTATCTGATGCGCTTTTTATTTTGAAGCAAGTGCTTGAATAAAGCATAATCACCTTTATCCAAACAAAAATTTCCCTTACTCAGATCCCCTGGTAAACTAGCAAATGAAAAGGCGGTTTAGAGAACAGTTAAAATGAAATTACTTGGCCAAAAATAAATTTAAAAAAAAAATCCCTCTTCCCGCTCCCCCAACTCTGAGCTTTATTGAGCTAACAAGAATCAACCAATGATCATAATTTGGAAAGAACCGGGAACAAATAATTATCAAATTGGACTGACAGTCAACAATTGTTAAAATTCAGAACAAAGATTTCAATCTACAAGGCAGGCAAAATGCCTACATTAAAAATATCTAATACATTTCTTGCAAAAGTTACAAGGAAAAGAAAAACCCAATAACATAAAATAGCATCAAAAAATTCAAATTCGAGAAAGATTTGCAGCCTGAGATATCACTGAAATTCAACCAACCCTCAACCCTAGGAAAAACAGAAAGAAAGAAAGAAATTAGAAAAGAATAATATCCACAATGGATGCAAATGTCAGTCTCCACTTACCTTGTTAGCTATGTTGTTTGAGAGCCAGTCTAGTCCCTCGTACAGCCCTTCACCGGAGGTGGCACATGTGCTCTGGATATACCTGTGACAGACACAAGAATAACCACATTCTTTCAGAAAGATATTTTGTATCTACAAAACACACAAAGGCCCTAATAATTTGTAGATAAACGAACAGGAGAAAAGTTCAATAATAAACTACCAATGGCGCTGACGGAGGGAATGAAGACCAAGCTTATCAGTGATCTCAGCAGCATTCATAGCATTTGGTAGATCTTGCTTGTTTGCAAATACAAGCAGCACAGCATCCTCAGCTCATCCTACACATATGAGAAGCAACAAAATATTTGAAAAAGTAATTAGACATGCATAAACAGGTAATGTAGACCACAGCCCTCACAATTCTCTTCCTTCTCTCATTACTGAAAATTTCAACACATTAGAGATAATACAACCAATAAAGGCAGTGCCAAACACAAATTTGGGGTGGGCCCTTAAAAGGTATAAGGTAATCAAAAGCGGACAAAGTTGGAATCTATCCAAATTTCAAACAACATGCTGCTAAGTGCCAAATGCCATTCAGCAACATGCCATAAAGTAGATTGGTACCTCATTTAGCATACGGTGAAGCTCATCCCTGGCCTCAACCACAAGGTCACGATCATTGCTATCAACAACAAAGATTAGCCCCTGGGTATTTTGGAAGTAGTGCCTCCACAAAGGTCGAATCTATAAGTGCCCATAAAGGCTACCAAAACATGACATGCTATCAAACTCCGGATTAACCCTTAATTTGAATAGAGGTAAAGGCAAGTACTATAAAAAAGCAACCAGCAATTTGTACAAAACATCACCATTACTTTATTACAAAGAAGACATAATATTGGTCGCACCTATACATTTAAAAAATAAAATAAAAACTGTAAGACAAATTTGAATTTGCATTGCATCACAATTGGCAAAATTCAGCACAACTATCAGCACCATAGTCCACATATCAGGTAATTCAAAAGAAAAAAAATTTCCTAAATACTATTGTAACTGCTTGTAGGTTAAAAAATGAATACAGATAATTAATATACAAAAAAAAAAAATACATAAATGTTGTGTTTATATATGCCACAATGCAGATAGCCTTCCTCCAATAGTCAAAGGAAAAACTTGAAAGACAAGGTAGCACTGTTAAATATAGCTTATGATTATGTTATGTGCTAATGGGGAACATCTAGTTAGCACAAGACCGTCCATAAGCACTCAAATTCATCACCTGTTACTATAATACAAAAGGTAAACCTAAAACCATTGATATTTCAATGAGGATAAGACTTCAGCTAACATTTAGCCTATGACATTGATTAAATGGAAAATCCACGGAGATCACTTACAACATCATTCATGAGAAAAAAATTCAAAGCATTGCGTTAATATACTTAATAGATTAAGATATGGTAAGGTTGTGTTATGTGTTGTTATAGGAGTATTCAATAAGAGCAAGATCTTTAGTAAGCACACAAATGATCACTAAACAAACCTGCTAGGAAACATATATATATATATATATATATATATATATAAGCCCGTGATGTTTGCCACAAACTGAATAACCTTCCTCAATTAGCGAAGAAGAAAACTGAAAATATAAGGTGACAGCAGTACATGTAGCTTATGAATATGTTATGTGATGATGGATGACAATCAAATCAGCACAGGACTGTCCATAAGCACGCTTGATAGCAAGGAAAACAACATACAGCAAGAGGACAACTTATGTGTCAGCCACAGCACGGATAGCTTCCCCTCGTACAACCAAAGGAAAAACTTGAAAGACAAGATGGCTTAGTAGATGTAGCTTATGATTATGTTATACGCTGATGATGGCATATGTCATCAGCATAAGACCGTCGATAAGCACATGCAACAGTTGTACCAGAAACTGCGATTTTACAATTGAATAATATGGCAAAATTATAACGTTTCCATCAAGGAGTAAGGCCCAGGAAAACAATATAATGGTAAAATTCTAAATATTTAAGGTTTGTTCCACAAATTTTCAAGTTCCTGTTGTACTACCTTGTCCTGACCACCAACATCCCAAACAGTGAAGCTAATGTTCTTATATTCCACAGCCTCCACATTAAACCCTGCGGGTGAGGTATCAATAAGCATCAGGATTGATGATCAAATTATTGAAATATTACAAAAAAATTAACAAAGAAAGAGCCATACCAGTAGTGGGAATGGTAGTGACAATCTCTCCGAGCTTGAGCTTATATAAGATGGTAGTCTTACCAGCAGCATCAAGACCCACCATAAGAATTCGCATCTCTTTTTTGGCAAACAGCCGACTGAAAAACTTAGCAAAAGAAAGCCCCGTCCTTTTATCTCGGCTTAGACCCAGGAAGCAAGATAACGGTGAATCCCAATCTACTCTTCCAATTAATACCAAGAAAAAAGGAACAAAAACCATTTGACATATATATAGTCACATATAACATAACTACATAAGACAGCCCCCATTTTTCGATGTAGGCCATTGCCCAAAATGGAAGAGATGAATAACATTAGGAACAATTTCTTTTAAGAAAAGCTTGTAAAAAGCAATAGCAATCTAAACAACTAGATCTACATCAGCTATGTGCACATCAATGATATTGCAGTAAAACAATATAAATAATCAATATGAAAGATAAGACTAGTAGTATATTTCCAAGTGAAAATACAAGCAGATGTAATAAAACCCAGATCCAGATCTAGATCTGGGACCAAATAGCTAAAGACCCATCGGCCTAAATCAACGCAATAAAAGGTTTTTATTTATACAAAGAAATCTAAACAAAAGCAAAGAACATAAGAAGTGAGGACTAAGGATTAGAGGCAGAAGAGTAAGGCAATAGAGAGATTTGAAATGTCCATGGTGAGAAATTTAGCGAATTGGATGGCTACTCAGGAAGAAGTAAGAAGGGATTGAAAGACAACAATGTTAAAACTTTGCTGGGGGCACAGCAAAGCAAAGCCAAGCTTATCCTTCTATTACGCAATCGGTGCGGAGATTTCACATGAAGGGGCCTTTTCATCCGTTAGGTTTTCTTTCTTTAACGTTGCCAGCACTTAGATGTTACATCCTAACGCTTTCGCTTCTGCCATGTGATCCTTGCCACGTTAGCAACGTTTCTGGTGATTTAATTTACAAGTTTTGGTTGATTAAGACAAAACAAAATATGAGTAGGATTTCCAATCTCCGAGATTCAATATCAATAGTATCACAATTCAAAGCACTCACCGTGACCTCCAACCACACACCCGCAACCTTGTTTGGTTTCCTTTCGCCTCAAGATCATGCAGCCGCTGTCCCAACTTCACCTATCTCTTCTTCGCCTTTCATCTGTTTAATCTCCCACAGAACAGCATACAGTCCAACTATCAGAACTGACCCAATAACACTGAATCAACCGCATCATTATTACGATTAATCACGTCCTTTTTACATAAACTGGATATATAAAGAACAAATAACTTTATGGAAGGGTATACTTGTATACGCACGTACGTTCCAACATATAATTAGTTTCTCTTGAAGCTGCATGTGTCACACCTTGGGCAAGTGCATTAGGCGTACAGGCCCGAACACCAGGGTTAAGGCTCAAGCACCAAGGACATTTGTCGGGTTTTGCGCACTAAGCCTTGAATAAGAGTCCAAACTGCTAACACAACATGCAAGTATGTCTGCACAGCAGGGCCAGGCCTACAAAGTGCTCGCATTACACTTGGGAAGGCCCAGGGTAGTAGGAGCGATCCAGGATCTTTCAAAAACAATTAAGATCGATAAGAGCCTTTAACAAGATTTGGTTGACCTTAAAAATTAGGAAGAGCCTTTTGTATTAATGTATAATCTTTGTAATCTTTAATTTTTAAGAGATATTATAATCTCATTATTTTAGGAGCTAGCCATAAGTAGAGCTAGGAGCCTCAACTATAAATAAAGAGTCGTCTCACCCTTTTTTGGACATCATCAGACACTTTGTTTCAATAATATACAGTGCATATTCCAACAATTCTCTTGCTTTCTCAAACTTTCGCATTTTGCCCTTCCAGTTATTCTAGTGCTTACACGCTTGTGTTTTAGGCTGACTTAGGCAAAAATAAGGTGATTTCAAGCTTAAGGCTGTACAAATTATGAGTCTTAGGTCGAAGCTCGTGATAGTTAGTTATCAAAGCAAATTTAGTTTAGGTTCTGCTTATGTTTATGTGCAGGTTAGATCGCAGTCGAGGAGATGGCATCCCATAGCGATGTTGCTAGCCAACAAACAGAGACCTAGGAGCAAGACCGCAAAATGGGTGACAAGGCCAGTTCGAGAGACATTCGGTCTACTATGGACATGAGACTATCCAAGATGAAGGTGACCATGGGCGATGTGAAAGAGAAACTTGACGATGTAGAGACTCATGTTGAAGCACTAGACTCCATGGAAGAGGAGCTTAAGGATGAGTTGCAAGTTGCTCTCAATGAAGGCCTCGACATGATCACCCAGAGGAATAAAGTCTTAGAAGCCAAGATGAAAACCATGCGAAATGGGATGGAGGCCATATGCAGAGAGACAGAAGAACTTAGGGGTGAGCTCGCTGCTTACAAGATTGCCATTGGGAATGGTATGTTTCCTGGAATGTCTAAGACCCGTGTGGAGATTCCCAAGCCCAAAGAGTTCAAGAAGACAAGGGCGGCCAAGGAAATAGACAACTATTTATAGGGATAGAGTAGTACTTTCAGGTTACAGGCATACAAGATGATGCTACCAAGGTAATTACCACTTCAAGGTATTATGATAGAGGCACATGTGTGATGGTGTGACGTGCAGAGGCACCATGATTGGAACCTGAAAGGAGTTCAAGGAACAGTTTTACTAGGAGTACGCCAATGATAAGGTGTGAGCAAAGTTACACAGGCTTAGCCAGCAAAGGGATGTAAGGGAGAACATCTAGAAATTCTCTGAATTGATGCTTTAGATCTCGAATTTGAATGAGATAGAAGGTTTATTTTCTTTCATGGATGGGTTGAAGTATGAGCTATAATGGAGGAAAGTTCATGACTTGGCTAAAGCCATGACTACTGCTGAGTCCTTGGTGAAGTTCAAATCATAGAACAAGTTCGAGTCTTTCAAGCTCAACGAAAAGTACAAAGACAAGAGGGATTGAAAAAGGCAGTCCAAGAGAAAAAATCATGATCGATAATCCAATAATGAGGATCAAGACTGTTCAAACAAAGATGACGAGAGAAAACCACCAGCAAAGAAGTGAAGGGCAAAAGAAGACCGTGAGCAGATCTCATATTACCTATGTGGTAAGGGATACATAGCGCGCAATTACCCAAAGAGGGGTAAACTAGCTGATGTAGATAAAAAGTCGGATGAAGAGCCAGAGACAGAAGTAACAAAGCTTGGGTTATTGGTGCTCAATGCTGTCTAGAGTAAGGGGAGCCATAAGCTAAAGAGCTTGATGTTTACGGATTTGATGGTTGTGAGCAGGAAAATAAATGCACTAATGGACACAGGTGCCTCACATTTGTTTATTTCAAATGATGAAGCCTAGAAACTCAGACTAAAAGTGCAAAAAGGGATTGGTACCATCAAAATGGTGAACTCTAAAGAGGTTCCAACCACTGGAGTAACACGGGGAGTGGAGTTACAACTTGAAGACTGAAAGGGCAAGGAAATCATTGAGGTAATACCCTTGGATGATTATGAGTTTGTGATTAGGTTAGATTTTTTGTTCGGATTAATGCCCTTCTCGTGCCTTTTATCAATTGTATATGCATTCTGGATGCACGGTGCTAATACTTTATACCATTGAGGCGCGAGTCTGAGATTGGGTCCAAGGTGCTATCGGTCATTCAATTTGCCAATGAGGTGAACATGGATGAAGACACCTTCTTGGTAGCCCTAAAGTATGAAGAATCGATGAAGAAGGAGATCAACATCCATTTGAAGGTACCAAACGTGCTGAAAGCCTTTAACAATGTAATGCCCACCAAGCTACCATGCAAGTTGTCACCTAAGAGAGAGGTAGACCACATGATCAAACTGGTGTCCTAGGCCAAGCCACTAGTTAGGGCCCTTACCAAATGTCTCTCTTAGAGTTGAAAGAGTTGAGTAAGTAGCTCGTGGAGCTAATTGATGTAGGGTACATTAGGCCATCCAAGGCCCTATACGGTGCATCGATATTGTTCCAACACAAGCATGATGGGTCGTTGTAATTATGTATATATTATCGAACATTGAATAAGCTGACTGTAAAGAACAAGTATCCTATCCCACTCATTGCGAACTTGTTCAATCAACTTGGAAGAACAAGGTAGTTTTTTAAACTGGATTTGAGGTCAAGTTACTATCAGGTCAGGATCGCAAAGGAAGATGAGCCTAAACAGCATGTGTCACCCACTATGGTTTGTATGAGTTATTAGTTATACCATTTGGACTCACCAATGCTTCATCCACATTTGTACTATAATGAATAAGGTGCTTCAATTGTTCTTTGATCGTTTTATTATGTTTTATCTTAATGATATTGTGATGTATAACCAGACATTAAAAGACTATATGGATCACTTGAGACAAGTGTTTGAGGTGTTACAACAGAACAAATTGTATGTCAAGAGGGAGAAGTGCTCATTTACCTAGCAAAAGATCTTATTTTTAGGCCACATAGTAGGAGGTGGTAGGATACACGTGAAAAAAGATAAAGTGCATGCCATTATAGAGTGGGAACTGCTAGCCAAGGTCATGGAATTGAGGTCATTCTTTGGGCTGGTTAACTACTACAGGCACTTCATCAAAGGCCATTCAACCATAGCCACGCCATTGATTGATTTGCTAAAAGAAAAAGAGTATGAGAGTAAAGTGTAGGGTGTTAGGAAGCCTTTGATCGGTTGAAACAGACTGTGATCGAAAAGCTAGTCTTGGCCTTGCCAGACCATGTCAAGCCATATAAAGTGCATACGGATGCATCAGACAACGCAATATAAGGTGTGTTGATGCAGAAGGGTCATCAAGTTACATTTGAAGACCAAAAGCTTAATAAGATTGAGCGTAGGTACACGATCCAAGAGAAGGAGATGATAGTAATGGTGCACTACTTGTTATCTATTGGGTTCTAGGTTTGTGGTCAAGATGGACAATGTGACGACTAACTACTTTCAAATGCAAAAGAAGTTATCCCCCAAGCAGGCGAGATGGTAAGATTTTCTTGTAAAATTTGATTACAGGTTGGAATACAAAGCTGGGCAAGCAAACCTAGTGGCTGACGTATTGAGCAAGAAGACAAGCCTAGCTGTCATTAGCCAACTAGAGGGTTCTTTGGTGCTGCACATCAAGAAAGGGCACGCATACAATCCTATAGCCACAGCTCTCATCAAGCATGCCAAACAAGGTAAGACTAGATGATTTTGGGTGTAGGATGATTTATTACTTACCAAAGGTAACAGGTTGTTTATGTCGCAGCATGGAAAGCTCTGCAGAGAAGTCATGCACGAGTGCCATGATTTGAAATAGGCTGGACACCCAAGGGTGAGCCACACCTTGGTTTTGCTAGAGGACTAGTACTACTGACCGACATGAAGAAAGATATGGAGGCCTATGTGAAGACTTATCTTGTGTGTCAATAGGACAAGGTGGAGTTTAAGCCACTAAACGATCTCTTGAAGCCATTGTTAGTGCCAGAGAGACCATGAGAGAGCGTCACTCTGGACTTTATAGTCAATCTTCCCAAGACAGAGGGGCTTAGAAGCATCATAGTAGTGATGGATAGGTTTTTAAGTATAAGATTTTCATTCTAGCAACCAAAAAGTGCCTAGCTGATGAGACAGCTCGATTATTCTTGAAAAACATGGTGAAGTACTAGAAAGTGTTGAGGACCATTATCAGTGATCAGGACAGACATTTTATGGGTAAATTCTAGACTGAGTTGTTCAAGCTGTTGAGGTCAGACTTAAACTTTTTCACCAGCATGCATCTATAGATCGACGAGTAGACTGAATGAGTGAATGGACTGTTTGAAGTTTACTTCAAGCATTATGTGAGTGCCGAGTAAAAAGACTGACCAAAGTTGTTAGATGTTACCCAATTTTCCTACAACTTACAGAGGAGTAAAGTAACGAACCAGAGTCCATTTGAGATTATGACAGGTCAGCGATCGCTAACACCAATTCGATTGCTGCAGGTTATGTAGGGCCTAATCCAACAACGTACAAGTTTGTCGAGGCTTGGTAGGAACAAGCTGACTTGGCCAAAGTTTTTCTTTACAAAGTCGCAAAGAGGTCGAAGAAGTGGGTAGACCAGAAGAGGTGGGATGTGTAGTTCCAAGTAAAAGACTTAGTGTTGGTGAAGCTGCATCCCATTGTGTACCATAAGGGATTACACAAAGGCCTAGTCCAGAGGAATGATGAACTTTTTAGAGTTCTTAAGAGG